AGTTTGGAATTTGTCTAAAACAAGTGACACGCTCAGATTATACGGTCTTAATGTTTTGTCGATTAAATTTAATTAAACCTCACGGTATATGTACTTTGCTACACCCAGGATTATATATTTTTTATTTGCGTTGAGCCATGTACAATGATAATACTAGTTAATATATTAAAAAATAAATAAGAATATTCATTTAGCGAAAACTCAAGCCGTTAACACCCGAACTTCGTGCTGTCATATAGTAACAGTATAAGATAGGTGAATTTATAACAATTTTTTCATTACCTATAATTGTAGTTTTTTTTTTTAATTTGACCCCATTTCATTTTTTAATTATAAACAAATCATAAAAAGAAATATATTTTTAGAACAATAAACCTTTAGAACAATGACATCTAAAAAGAAAAATAATTGCTTGACATAAAAAAAATTCTGAAGACCTTATAACATAAAAAAAGATAATATCTTTAATTTCAACGATATAATTAGCAGAAAAACTTTAAGAAAAAACATTATACTTTAATTTTTATTTACTTTAAAATATGTAATAATTCATTACATTTTTTTTCAGATACTTTGTGTTGATTTTAGTGCACATATTATTATGATTGCTGTACACTCCATCGTCGTCGGAGACCGTAGTGAAATTGATATATTATGTCGATTCTCCCCTTTGACAATAATATCAATTTGTGGCACGTTTGCACCCCCCCAAACGCGGTAAACATGAAATATTGTCTGCTGTACAGCGGATTAGCCGGATGAGTTAAGCAAAACAATCACAGATGGTTGCGTTTCACTCAAGCTTACAAACTTAAACCGATATCGATAGGAAAATAATCAAGAGGAAACAACTTATCCAACGGTGATTGATGAAACAGCTGCAAAAAAAAAATAATAAATACCGAAACAACGAATCGAGCCTAAACATTTATGTCTATATTCAGTGAACGGCTTTGACCCGATTCAAGTTTTACCTTCTTTCAAATCTATCACACTACTGTTGTTCACAACAGCTACCATAACCCGATAGGAAAAACAACAATTCACTTGAAATGCTTTTAAAATCGTCTCCAGATGTTTTGGGCAGAGCAAATTGAAATTATGACTATGTATAAATATCGTTATAGTTAGACTGGCGCTGTAGTGTGAACATCACATACTTGGATTTTGGAAATTAAACGGTTGGAGTTATAAATTACATATTAAATTAATTAATAAATTACAATTCCTTATGCGGGTGACCTTATTACAGTGGGCGACGTTTTTCCTTCGAATCCAAATGACAGCATTTTATCATAAAACACACCTGTTACACTTCCGGCACTTTAAACCACACTTAATTTCACTCGCCATTCGTCTTAACTTCTCCACTCTCTTTCACAGCACATCCCTTATAGATATAATGGGTATTGTCTATTTCTTAACTATTAATTACACGCAAATGCAGTGTTCAAACTTAAGCTGACATTTATTCGGTAACATATTTTTTACGGTTTTTTGGCTGTCCGGTTGACTTGTGTGGTCTTGATTTTTTAATCACTAATCTTTTCAAGGCATTTATTTAAAAAAAAAAACAATTTTTTTTTCTTTAGTCAAAACAAGTGAGGTAGTTTAAATTGGGCTTTATATCTGCGCAAGCGTGTAACGGGTTATAATAATAATTCCACATGGTTTAACTGCAAAAAATCGTATTGGGGTTTCGTTCTGTAGAAATATATGAACAACACATTCTTTGTTCGAAGTGCTGTGTATTAAAATCGTTTTGATGAAATTCAAATATCAATAGCGTATGGCAGCTGCAAGTTATGACAACAAAAAGTTATTTGATTTTTTTACATTTTAGTGAATCGATCAACGGTTACATATTATATTAATATAAAGCCAATACGCAGTGCAGGCTTTTATGTGTTAATAATAATATTTTATGTCCATGTTATTTTCCGTACAATTTCCAAGTTTTTTATTTTTGAATAATGCGCAAAAGTATATTATTATTTTTACTTCTTGCTAAAAATGAATTTTGTAGGGATTCCGTTTAATATAAACTCATTTACGGGTTTACTGGCGATATTTATTTCTTAAAAATCTTTATTAAAAAAAAAAAACATTTATAACAGCATGGAAAATTTGTAACTCTGCAAAACAATGTTGTTTGGTAGACAAAATTACTACACAACACCATTATTGGCGTGAATGTGTTTTTTTCTGAGCTTTAATCCAAAAATTACATTTAGCTAAAGATACATGTAGAGTTGTTTGTCATCAATATCTCAATACACTATAGTATACATTCATATTATCGTTGTGGCAACAGCTATTCTGATACGGAGATTAAAGTTTAATCAACAACACAATATCACACAGGCCTTAAATTGTGTATTTGATTAGCTCATTTCGAAACAAAATCCCTGTACTTATAATAAGTTCTAAGCGATAATCCAAGAAGGAAAAACATTTTGAAAACCGCAACAAGAAACATCAGTTCACCGAAAAAGAGAAAGCCTAATGAGCCTATTCTATATACCTAAAGTTCAAAAGCCTACAACCTTATTTTTCATTAATGATAAATCACGGTACATATTATATATATATATATATATTTTATATATAACAACTAGAGCAAGCCGTCTTGGAAGTTAGAAGAATGGCCAGCTTCTCTTACCGCAAATCTCTTAACGGAAGAAGCGTCATTTTGGCTTATCTTCTTTGCTCAAACACCACACAAATGTAACCCATCCTAACCTGACTAAGCAATTCATATAAAGTCAATATTATAGACAATTGAGTTTAAAAACGGCGCTTTGTGTAGGCAATTCAACTGCGTCCTCACGAAAAATAAACAATATTGTGCAAAGATACTAAATTATCTTAGTTTCATTTTTTTTTTTTTTTTAAATACGTTAAGGTAAAAATTTTCTTTATATATAGATATTATTCCATTATTATCTGCAAATAGATTATGGGTACATTCATTGTTCTCTCGAATAATATTTTAATCTAACATTCGTTTCCCAATTAAAAAAAAATAACTTCATGTTCATCACTAACAGACTAAAATAAAAGTACCTACCTAGACCATAGTTTCTAAATTTCATGGAAGAAACGTTTACAATTTTGATTAAAAAAAATGATTTTACTAAAACAAAAACTTTTTCATTATTCGAGTGAATTTTCAAAAAAAAAAAAACAATTTAATAAGCCTGCATATTAATAAAAGTTCTACCAAAGGCCTTTTTGTTGTTTTAATGGAAACTAGTCATCTGATAGGGATGCTTTTTGTTTTGAATGAAAATTCATATTTTACAAAGTGGTTTTTTCACAAAGACCACGTCAGTGCAATATTATGTTTAAAGAATAATTACAAAATAAAAACCGTCAGTGTAAAATTATTAATTTATTACGTATAACGTAATATAACGTGTTAGCTATATGGACATAAAATATTTGGTTTTAGTATCTAGAAAGAGAATGTACACAGTTTTTTTAGTAATAATTATACAGTTTTATATAAAAAAAAACAGGCTACTGATCCTTTCCTTTGTAGTGGCACCGGTCCGGCCGTTTATGAATTCACAATTTATATTTTTCTTATGGTCGTATATGTAAGTTTTTTTTATAAATTTGTTACAAAATATACAGGATCTTACAATCTCACAAGATACAGTAATTTTTCCTTGTTTTAGCTAAATAATTATATTTTTTGTAATTAAAATTATTACAACAAAACAATTGTGTCGTTTATAACTATTTTCTTGCATGTTAGTTTTTTTGGATATCTATTAAATGTCAAATAGTTATAAGCCATTAGGCTTTCAGGTTTTGAACCGTACAAAATTCTATTGTCGGCCCACATACCCGTCCAATAAATTAAAAAAAATTCCTCTTACTAAGAGAAGTTAGTCCAATTTAGGTATATTTTCATTAATTTTACCGTGCAAATTTATCACGTCCAATGTCTTTTATTAATTTATCTTACAATTAGTAAGTATCATTGATAAACGATGTTCAGATAGGCTTAACGTTAACTAGCTTCTAATGTAGTTTTCGGCAATCATTGACATTCAAAACACGGTTGTCGACGAAACGGTCAAAGTGTAAATAAACTTTCTATACCAACTTTAATTTTATCAGTTTGAAAGTTTTTAGGAATGCGAGTATGGCAACTGCGTCAAAATATGACAAACGTGGAAAGTGTCGATTGTACAATACGATGCCAAATCATCAGATAGTGACTTGGGTAAACTTTAAAAAGAGAAAAAGGTACTAAGAAGGCAAGGTTGAACCGTTATAGTTAATAAGCTATTTTGTCTATTTTATCAAAACGTGTAAAAATGAGATTTTTTTTTCTTATGACTATGTCTTTTTTAATTTTAAATCTACAATACCCGGAGTGAGCTCGTTGGAAAGACGACGAAAAAAGCTTTGAAAAAATTATTGTAGCATTTAACTTCACACGTGTCGATCAAATGGATAAGACAAAATAGCTTCGAGTCGCCAACAAATAAAAATGTATTATCCGATCGAGTTCAATTTTTGACATTTTCTCTCTTTGACCCAAGTTTATGATTTTTCGGGTAAACAAAAACTACTTTTTTTTTAATGGGTCGGTCTTATGCACATATAATTGTTTGTTTAATATCAAATCATTTTCAGTAAAAAACGAGTGAAGAGAGGTGGAACTAAAAAAAAAAACAAACAAGAAAGTGAGTTAATAAAAACGTGGTAAAATACCCTTAGCTTTTTGGATTTGCGCCTAATGGTCGCAACACGTTCGACTAAATCATAATATACTTATCCGAAGACTGTGGAAAAACGGTCTATATCTTATTTTACGTGACGCAAATGATGCTGGGGAAAATGTTGAAGTGCTTGTTCACTCTGTAGGTGTACAACATTCACCGTGGTGAACGTGGGCGGTAGGGGGCAGGGCTGGCACGCAGGACCGCTGCGCTTTTCGGCCGGCCCCGAAGCCCACCGTTGTGGTATATAAGTAAGAGCGTGACGGCGCCTCTGCAACCTAACCGGTGTCATCATCGCACGACCGACCGAAACGCACACATACCCTTTCGCAAAAGCCAACGCCGCCGCCCGAGTCAAAGTCTCCTCAAAGTCAACAGGTGAGTTTTTTTCCACGTTCTCTAAATATATCACTGTTTAGTGTTCAAACGGCCTCATTAGTTAAGCATACATTTTTTTTTTTTAATTATACCGCAGGGGGTGTGCTGGACAATAGTAAAAATATCGCTCTTTGGATTTTATTCGTTCAAGTTATATTTTTAAATTACATCAAAATCAACGTATCTACCTAGACAACGAACGACCGACCGACCACAATTATTATTTTTTAAATTTATCTAAATAATTTTGCTTAGCATCGCCCACTTAAAAGTAGACAAAGTTATTATTACTAACGCATTGCTTAAGCTTCACTAACGAAGCGAGAATAACGAAGTACGATTTTACCGCACGTGTCCAATTCTGAATTATCGATTCAAAAAATTACTATTCATATTACAAACATTTTTTTTTATACGAATAAAGTTATTGAATCAGCATTAAAATATATATAATTTTTTTGTGGCTCATGACAGTGACAAATAGCTTTAATAAAAGAAATAAAATTAGATTTTACGGTTATGTATAATGCGTTTTTTAAATAAGTCTGTGAATAAAATATAATGGCGTACAAATTAAAAGCTCCATTTTGACAATCGACATTTCAAATCCCGTGTATTCTCTAAGTACACAACTGTTTTCAGTTTATTTCTTTTTTCGAAGATTTCTAAGTATTAAAATCAAAATATAACCAGAACAAATCATACATTTGACATTTCTGGACTTTCACCTTCTTCAATTACATAATACAACTAAATTGTAAAAAATTTATAATATTATTTGTGCTTTCATAAATTGTATACAACTAGATGCTATAAATAAGATGTATAAAACCGTTTTGTTAATAAAAATGTTTTACATTCATATTTTACAATTTTACAAAAATATTTTTAAAAAATGCAGATCACACACATATATATATTTTATTTTATTTGTGTAGGTATTAAAATAAATACCACTAGAAATAATTATTAATAACAAATATTGAAATGATCTTAAAAAAAATTGTTATTAAAACATGGTTTTTTTATATGCTGTATTCAGCGATTAATAATTGTATAGTTTTAAAATAAGTTGTGAGTAATATTTTTTGGATTCATTAAGGGAGGCTAATGCCAAATTACAATTTATGACCAGTTTGACAACTTAATGCTACACCTACAAAACTAATAAACTCGAAGTTTTTTTTTCCTATTTGAATATTCCCTCTCCCCAAAGACATCCAATAAATTATCTCACTTAAGCCGTGTTAAACAAATTAGCAACTAGGTTTTCATTACAACGCGGACTGTCATTAGTTTAGTGAACGGAAATGGTAATAAATTGGCCTGCGCATAAAATCATACATTTCGGTATTAACTGTTACCATAAGTAAGGGTTCAACAATCAACAGAAATTCAATGAAAGAAAAATAACAGCTATACATTGAAAAAGTATTATTTTTTTTTTATTACATAAACTGTCACGCACACATATTACATAGAATTAAGCAAAAATAATTCTATTCCACTTAAACTTGATTTAATAATTTATCAGGTGTCACAAGTAAACGATTTTTTATTTCTGCGTTACTCTGTGTTAGGCCTTCAAGAGGCGTATGTATATTTCTGCATATTAATTACACTGTTGTAATTTAAAAAAAATATATATATTTTTATACGTTCCATTGTATAGTATATTATATTTTTAGGGAAATAATTAGTTTTGAAATCTTCATTGTAGATCCTATAAAGTGCAAACAAGAGTTTGTAACCAAAGATGTGTAGCCTATTATCATAAAACAAATAATTATTTCTACCTACCTTAGGCATCACAATGAATATTTTGTGTTGTTGTTTTTCACAAAAGCGGTTTTATGTAAAAATAAAACAATTAAGTTGAACACTTTTAACGATACAACTTATAAAATAAATCATACAAATTAAATCGTACTATTTTCAAACACGGAAACCCTTATTTTTGAGTTGAATAAACTTCCAGAAACTAGGAACTTCCATCAGTAGGATACTATACTTGGTCAGGATATGATGACAATAGATTTTCTCTGAGGTAGAAAATTGTCAATACAAATTGAGTTTTAGGTAGGTTCAAGTACCGGCAAACTAATGTATTTTATTGGGTAGCAATACGGGATAACAATGTTATTTTGTTAAGTCTGCGAATTGAATCTGTCCAAGAGTGAAAACGCAAATTATTATTAAATATTAACAGTGTTAAAAATATTTCAATCCACGGAAGCCTCGACACACTCAATAACAGTGTTTTTTTTGAAAATAACACTTTTTTTTTTAATCATCAACTTGACTTGCTGGTCAAAGTAAACACACATTATTGTATTGTCACAAGTTGTGTGGATAAAAAAACAGTTCAAAGATAACTACGGTACTGTCGTCAAGTTAGCCGAGTGACATGAGACAAATCTAGATGTAAAATTGTCAAGTATTCAAGTATGTAATAAATAAAACGGAGGAGTTAAAATTATTGTACACGGAGCATAAAGTAGCTAGCGAAATGTGTAAGACATTAGAGTGTGTGCTGGCGTGTGATGAGCGATAAAGGAGAAGGCGTACTTTACTATTAAAGTTAGTAAGTTAGTGAAAATGCTTTTAGTTGAATACTGAACGTTAAATTAATATGTGTTTGAAGGGGTTAATTTAAAGGAATGAGGAAATATAGTAAACAAATATAGACTATAACGTTGAAAAGATAAGTTATGAATTAATTAAAATTCTGATAATTTATTCCGAAATTGTATTACAGCTTTTACATCAATTATAAACGGAGGCATTTATTTTTTATTTTTTAAAACTGAAATTGTCAAATATTGAAATGCTAAAGGTAATTTTTAAAAACTACCATTTGATTCTACATGTACAATATTATGTACCTATAGGATACTTTCATAAATTTTACATTAACACAACAAAAACATTTGAGCACCCGAGCTATTTAATTTTATAAAAATCATAAAACACACATTTAAACGGATTTTATCGAATATAAAAACAAAACAAAATTAATTTCATTGTCTTTTTCATCTGTTTATTTTTTTCTCATAAATTCGCTATTGAAACGATTCATTTTTAAAACAATTATTTTTTTAAGACTTTGGATAATGTAATTAGGCAATTTAAACGCCATTGTTAATAATTTATAATTATTGACACGATTTTTGTCTTTCATTTTAAATATTTCACCTCTCGTTTTATTGACTTTTATTTTATAACAAAAATACAGCAAAGTAACACATTTAAAATGGTTCGTTCTCGAGCAAATACGTTTAGCGCCACGTTATGCGCAAAGGAGTTTTTATTATTACTATTAAATGACATTACAGTTGTGTTTGGTAAAGCTAAAAGTAAAAAACTCGCAATCGCCCACCGCAGTCCTAACATCCCCAGAAGAGCGTACGTTATAATATTTACTTGTGATGGCAGTAACCAATAATGGGTTTAATATTTGGTTAAGGTTGTTCGGATATTATGTGTTTTTTTTATATAAACGACGCCTTCGTGGATGTTGTGCAGACTTTAAGTGGCAAAACGGTAAAACATTTCTACTCGAGAGGAATCCCACATCCGTCAACCGCATTTGAAGTCAAAAGGTTAGATGTGTACACTGTAGAATTTACATGTTCAATAGATAAAGGCTGTTTGACACTCAATTTTTTTTCAAGCATACTCCTTGAATGGTTTTACCATTGTACCTATTAAAATAAATTGTTTGGAAATAATTTGCGCCACGGTCCATTTTTTTAGTCAACAGTGCTCGACCGCAAGGAATAAAAATTCTACATTTCTTAATCACGTTTGTGCAAAATTAGAATTGTTTTAATTTATTTAAAAGCCTCAAGCTGGTTGGCTCGCTTAAAAGCATATAGTAATAGGTTTTTCTTTTAATTTTCCACAAGATTTTACAGTCTGCAATATTTTTAATACAATAAAAACAATCGATAAAAAAAATGTTTACAACAATTTGATTTTGTTTTTTTTTTAATTTATAAGATTACTCATTGTCTGTATTTTAGCTGAACTCCACAGGACCATGCCGGTTTTATTAGTAATGTTTACAAATATTTAGCTCTCGTTCTTTGTGCTTAACCTTGAGTTGGTTCGTATGAGTGCGATGCATTGTCACGGTAACGCGTATTAGTCCATGTAAAATTATTTGTCTTAAAACTACATCATTTTGCTGACCCCCCTCTCAGATCGTGTGGAATACTACTCGGGGGTCGTCTAGGGTTCCAAACGAAATGAACCGCGCTACAGGGAAGATGAGCTACCATAAGGTGCGATGCTTTTGGCGACGGGGCAGAGGTCGAAAGCCGGCACTCTTTAGGCCGGTGATCGCCGAACGGTTGTACAAAAATAATAATAATACACTAATACACTAAATAGTAGCGCACGCATAACGATAAAGGTATAAGGGTCGGTCGGCGTTGAAAGGGCCGCACTATATTAGTATTCCGGTCGGTTTTGCGCGTTTTACCGTAATTGCCCCGGGGCAATATCCCGAGCTCGGGACACGTTCGACGATTTTTTATTTTTATTTTTGCATCGTTTAGCGGCGACTGTAAAATTAAAAACATCTGACGGTGGGCACTTGGGCGGCGAGTCGAGGGGACCGACACTGCTGCACTCAGGACGGACGGCTGCTGTGAAATTAGCCCCGATAAACGCCGCGACATTAAGCGCGGCCCGCCCGGGTGTTATTGTCGTCGGTGCCGCGGTCGTGCAATAAGTGTGCGGCGCTGCACTTTGCAAAAACTCTTAACGGCTCTTACCGGCCAAATTAAAGATCGGTGGCGCCCGCGTCCATTATTATTATATTTGCACTCCGGACGAATCGTTGCTGTTGTCGGTTTCCGTTTACACAAACGTCTAGCCCGGCCGGCGCTTTTCACCGTAAGCGATTTGCAACAATACAGTCATAATGTCTGACGATTAACAATAACGCTCGGCCTTTACAAAAACCACGAGCGTGGGTCGTTTCATCTGCACCA